GGCTCTGGCAAACCACTTCCGAAAAACAGTTGCCTTGAAAACTGCAAGGACTCGTCCAAGTGCAGGGTCAGCAATGACTGAGCGCAGATTAAAAAAAAAAAGAGAGAGCATCTTGGGGGATCCCCAGGGGCCCTAGGAGCACACTTGAAGAAACACTGCCTTAATTTGGTGTGTTTGTCAAGCCACTGTAGCTTCAATAGATTATGTTGACCACAAACCATGGCTTAAGACACTGAATGAATTTACTCATTAAGAAGCAATAATGGATACTTCTTTCTGCATTTAAGATTCACTTGATCTTATCTATCCACCAGATGTTTAAGCATTCCATTCAAAACATTGAAACAGAACATCCTAGTTTTCTTTCGGGGGGGGGGGACAGTTGCCAACAGTAGACATGCTATCATGTTCAACGGAATGTCAGGATTTTTGTTTTGCATGATGCTGGATAAATTTATTTATTTGTCAAAACAAGTGACTCTGGGCAGTGTACAACAAAACTTGTACACTTGTATGTAGATCCTGCATACAGCAAGAAGACTCTTTAGCTTTGTGTTAAAGGAGGAAAGTCACCTTTGAGTCAAGTTCTGGGCCAGGTGACTTACATGGACACATCGGTGCCGTTTTCTTAGCATGACATGGAAGTGATTTAAGCATCCCTTGGGTTCGCATTCCAGTTTCCGTAAGCCATCAAGGGCAGCTGCTCTGAGTTCACATGCACCCCACCACAAAGATTCAGTTCTGGCGAAGGAGTTGCAGGCATAATAGAGGAGGGAACCACACAAACGTCTCGTAATAAATTCAATCAATCAATAGACTCTTCTGCAATCTGGCCTTCTCCAGCCTTGTCTGAGGCTGCAGATCCCAGACTTTCTAGCCAGCCTGGCCCTTTCTATGTTACTTTATAACAATCCTGCATGACCTGAACAACTCAAATGCTTGTGATAGCCTTTGAGTGGGTGTGATGAAAGCAACGGTCAGTAAAATAAGAGTAATCATCATCATCATCATCATCATCATCTTTTCTTTCCCTGCAGGCTAGCCCAGCATGTCTCAATGCTGACCAGGGGAAGCTGGCTGGGGAATTCTGGGAGTTGAAGTCCACCCATCTTAACATGGCCAAGGCTGAGAAACGCTGGGTTAGCCTCTCACGCCAGGATTCCAGGAGGTCTCCGACCCCAGTACTATCCCGAGTCCAACCTGGCGTAGCTTCTTCGAGATTGCAGAGCTCTTTATTGTACCAGATCGCACGGGTGCCATACCACACTTCCACCTAACTGTTGCAACCCCTTTCGTGGCTGGCTGCAGCTACAATGTACCCACGATCTTCCGGCAACAGCGCTTCACCTTCCTCCGATCAGAGCCAAAAAGCCCCTTTGAAAGATTGAGAACAGAGCCAGGGGAAAACCTCCGACGGCTTTTACAGGGAAGACAAGCGGGGGGGGGGGGGGG